GCAGGGTATAAATCCAGTCTCTTCCTCTTGTATTATAGGAGAAGGTCCATAGCTTAGACGATGTGACAAGCCTCTGCCTGAGACCTTGGAGAGCCCCTGCCCGTGGGAGTAGAGAACACTGACTCTGATGGGAGCAAAGGACTGATCCAGCACAAAGCATCCACATAGGTGTGTTCACCGGTTCGTGTTCGAGCAAAGAGAGAACTGGGAAGCCACTTTTGGCTCATGCCCAACTAGAGCCAAGTCACCCGCGGTGCTGGAGAACTCAGCCCGAGGGGGTCCCTTGCAGGGGAGGCGGCCTACCTGTTTCTTCCCATGGTCTCATGGTCTTTGACCACCACGTGCAGCTCCGCATTCTGGTCCAAGGGGATGCCTTTCAGGTCCCACTCAAAGCCCTGCAAAGAGGAAGAGAAGGGAGTCAGAGATCTGCGGGGGCTCTCCTCTGTTTACGCCACGGTGACCGAGATGTTCAGGGCGTGCCTAGACTCTCACCGCTTGCATGCTCAGGGTTGCCAGCTTCCAGGTGGGGTCTGGAGACCTCCCAGAATTACAACTTATCTCCAGATAAGACCATCAGAGAAGCCAATGCTGGATCAGGTCAATGGCCCATCCAGTCTGTGTCACACAGTGGCCAAAAATGCCAGGTGCCATCAGGAGGTCCAGCAGTGGAGCCAGGACACCAGAAACCCTCCCACTCTTGCCCCCTCCCGCAAGCACCAAGAATACAGAGCATCCCTTGCCCCAGACCGAGAGTTCCTATCTAGACCTTCTGGCTAAGAGCCACTGGTGGACCTCTGCTCTTAACATAAGAACATAAGAGAAGTCAGTGCTGGATCAGGCCAATGGGCCATCCAGTCCAACACTCTGTGTCACACAGTGGCCAGAAATACCAGGTGCCGTCAGGAGGTCCAGCAGTGGGGCCAGGTGTTAGATCCCCAAGCATCGAGAATAAATCCACGTTTTCAAGAAAAGCAAAATTTATTTCAAAGCGTTGAAGACATACTCAAACACGTTCTTTGTTAGAACTGGGGATACACAGTTAGGGCGAGCATAATAAAGGAAATTCAAACAGATACATATCCAATGAATAATATTCCCGCTGGCGGGCTAATGAAACAGTTGCGCGCCCAGTCCATGGGAACCAGGCAGAACATCAGACAAAACACAGGTGCAGTTCTCATGAGATAGCAATAGGCAAGCATTACAGCATCTTCTCCCCCACACATCCACCAGTAGTTATCTTAGGCATTCCAGCACAGAAGCAGGATAGTAGAAACAAGCCGGGTGCAACAGGGTAAGGATATGTACACAGAGGTCACAGAAAACAGAATGGCAGCTTGCTGACATACTGCCCCCCTTAAAATACACTTAAAACACACCTCCCGGGTCGGGCGGGAGATCTCCCGGGCTGGGCGGGAGACCTCCCGGTTTGTCCGGGAACCTCTTGTGGAAACTACGGATCAGGTAAGGGGCCCGAATATCCCCTTCTTCCACCCATTCGCGGTGCTGGGGACCGAAATCAACCCATTCGATAAGGTACCAGAGTTTACCACGTTTCAATTTACAATCAAGGATATCAGCGATCTCAAAATGTTCATCCCCTTCCAAAATGACAGGTGGAGGAGGAGTAACTGCTGGTCTCCAGGGAGACGGGCCAGGATCCTTCTTCAACAGGCTCATGTGAAAAACAGAATGCAGAGCACGTAAATTCTTAGGCAAAACAACATCAACCGCCACATTATTTATGACTTTACGCACTTTGAATGGACCAATGAACTTCCACCCCAATTTCCTGCTAGGTCGCAGCATCTTAATGTTCTTGGTCGAGACATACACAAGATCCCCAGGTTTCAGATCAAACCCCACCACCCTACCCTTGTCTGCCTGGGTCTTGTAAGCAGCCTTGGCTGCGTCAAGTGTTTGGCATAACAGAGGCCA